ACATTGGCGAACGATGGTTTGTTTGTGAAAAGACCAGATACTTGTTGTCGGGCTTCTCGGAAAGTAATGTTTTGCGTGATTTTGATTGTAACAATTTCTTTTTCCTTTTTCCATGTTGGATAGGTTCGGGAGTATGCGGGATGGCCACCATCGCAGTTTGCGCAGTGGGCCCCATCCTTTACCTTACACTCATCTGTGGCGTGTCCTGTGGTGGCACACTTTCCGCAGGTGAGTTGGCCGCGGCAACTCTGAGAGCCGTGACCGAAACGCTGGCATTTGAAGCAACGTCGTGGGTTGGGAATGTAGGGTCGCACATTCAACTTCAAGTATACTGTTTGGAGATGTTCAGGCAGGGTACTGGTGCAAAACGTCAAAATTATGTATTTTGTTGGGACTTCCTTCTTATCACACCTAATTTTGATTTTGTGCTTGTGTCACCTGCTGGTCCTTCCAGCCCTCGAGGAGCTCACCTTCAGTCAGGCCAAGCAAGTCTTGATCAGATACAACGCCTTGGGAAGTGTTGAGAGAGAGGTGTGGTGTAATTAAGATAGGAATGTTTCCAAACGATTCTAGTTTCGAGAGGTTTTCATACTGGCTCTGACTTTCTATCTCGAGGAGGAGATCCCAACTGGCCATTCTTGTAGCCTGGTAACCTGGGCCAAGTGTAGTGGTGAGGCATTTGGAAACAACAAAAGACGAAGTTGTTCTGGTGTTCTTTTCAGCAGTTTCACAGTGGATTACATGATAGCGGGGAAAGGTTTCCTTTCGGTTTTCTGAAATAGTTGCAAATGTCTTCGGTGCGCCCTCTCTTCGAGAGAGGATGATCGTGCAATGAGGGGAGAGAAAAAAGGCCATAAAGTAAATATGAGTTTGGCAGCCATGCCAGCTGCCTACCATGGAGCCCAATATGGGGACGTGACAAGTCCTAAATTTATATGAGGCATGTCAACGTCAGCTGTACACAGCCGTTACAACCAAATATATTGTGCCCAAGACAGAGCACATACACAAGGTTAACCCTTGCCGCCAGGAAAATCAAAAGTAAATGAAAGAGAGAAGAAGACAGGATAGATTTAAAGACGAGAAAAGACTAAGATGCAGAGAGAGAGAGAGAAATAGTAAAAGGCTACTACTGATTTCCCCTGGGTGGGTCAGCCCAGGAGCGCCGTCTACGTGAAGCCGGGGCCAAAGGAGTGTGTTGCCGCCGCTGGGGTGCCTTAAAGGTCCGATCACCCAGCATTGACTCAACCCCCAGAATCCCCTTTTCCCCGGACATGGCAAAGCCACGCACGGCTAGGCGTGGGAGGGAGTCAGAACTCCCCCGTTAGCTCGGGTCCGTGGTGGCGCTACACACCAAACGCCTATTTGCGCAGGCGCCCCTGCGGGTTAAATACCTGCCGTTCTTGCTGGTAAAACCATTATGAGTCACACCGCAGGGGAGAACAGAGCCATTCATTGTGACCACCTTCATCGACCATCCAATTTTAAGCAAGCTCCATTTCACTTCCATCGTGATGCAGCTGCTGTGTCATGGTATTGAACTCATGATGAAGAACGATGAATAACCAACATACCCAAGCCCTTTTCCTTAAGCAGCATAACACCTCCGCCAGCCACAAGCAATCGGAGCATGTTGCACACAAGGCCAATAGTGTAGACATGTACTTTATTATTTTTACACTGAGCCACAATAGCAAAATGCATTCCCACCCCTTGAATAAAACAGTCACGTTACTTACAATAATGTTACCACATAAGTAATTTAGGTATGTGCATCTGTGTAGCAGGCAACAGGGTGATGGCAGAAGAAGAGGACGTTCTTTATATAAGTAGTGCACGTTTTTCCTGGAGTCCGAGTCAATATTTAAACCGCGGTGCATTAGGCTGACGTGCTCTGCTACCGTCACATTACTAATGTGGCAGCAGCAGCAGCAACCTAGTTCACTCAAAAGGTACGAGCCCACAGCACGCTCTCAAAATCTACAATGGCTTTCTTTTTGTCATACATGTAGTTCAGGTGATAAACACAGTTCCTCTCCACGTGTTCCCATTTTTCCCAATCAGTATTTTAACACTGTGTAACAGGGCTGTAAAGTTTCACTATATTGAGCCAAATTGGCTATATTTTAGGCCTTTAACGTGAAATAATTTCGATTGTCTATTAGTTTGTCTACTGCAAAATGGGATGTAAGTGAGCGTAGTAACTGTAGCAAATATTTTGCCGCTGGCCATACAAGCATGGAACGACCACTTGTCGAGCGTCATTGTCAATTCAATGCTTTTATTTCAGCCATTTCTTTTCATGTGATATTTTATGGTACACTGTTTTTATACTTAGTCTTCTTTTTATGCAATAAACTTGCATTTAAAGTGAGCACTTCGTTTGTTGTATCAGCTACCCTTCTTTGTTTTTGTCGTTTCCATGGTGCCAGTACTAAGTTTTACACCAACTTGCTCACATCTGCTATGCTTAGATAGAATGAAAGTTAGGGTATCTACAAGTGGCAGCTAGAAGCGTCCAAAAGCAGAAAGCTACTTCTGGACAAAGATATGAAATTATAAGGACACAAAGTTGCGATTTGGGCCTGTTGGTTTGCCACTATAATGCATGTGCAACTGAGACACGGACATGATTAGAAGAGACACAAAGCACAGTGTCTAATTGTGTTTCTTTTTTTGTCAGTGTTCCAGTCGTGCCGCTTTGTGCATTATAAAGACATGAATGGCAGAACCCTCTATCTTGCAGGGAAAGCAATCAGACCCCTTTTTTTGTAAATATAAAAAGCAAAGACCTAGCAAGTTTTCTGACAGACAAGCTTGATGAAAACTGACCTCCGAGATTGATGACCTGCTCGCCTCGGTTTCAAGAAAAATGTTGGGACTGCGACAGAGGAATTCGAACCAGTTCCAGGTTCAATATCTGTCCAGCACTGAGTGAAAAAACTAACGCAAAATATTGCACGTGAAAGGCAACTACGTTTTAATCAGTGTTGTACATAGTATTGAAGCAGTTCTTGTTTTGTAAATCTGAGCCATATTATGGAAGTTATCAGTCCCCAGTCATGTCATAATCCAGGGTCAGACAAGAGAACATTGAAAGCTCAGAATTCATTATCCTACAAAAGATTACTAGAAAGCTGACTGAAATGCGTAATTAAATCCAAGCAACTACTATTTGGAGCACTTTGATACAGTGATGATCTTCACTGTCACCCCAAGGCAGTCACTTCTTGTGATTTTAAGAAAAGTTATGCAAGACATGTGGAAGAAACTTGGTCATCCAACGTGATATGATTCCAAAGTAAAAAATTTATACTTCTGATATTCACAGTGTACTTATTAACATTTTTAATAATAATAACATTATTGGTAATAAGAATATTTGGGCTTTAATGTCCCAAAACCACAATATGACTATGAAGGATGTCGTAATGGAGGGTTCCAAAAATTTTGACCACCTGGGCTTCTTTAGTGTGCACCTTGATTTACATTTATGCCAAAATGCTTTTGCACTTGCCTACACAAGAACACTGCAGTTATTTTCATACACACATGGCTTCTTTTACTGCAATTGGCTCGAATTGGGTGGTTTTTGGTTAGTTTTCCTACATGTTTTTTTGCTTTTCATGTGCGATTTTGACCTGACAACCCTGCTGTGTTAAACTAAAATTACATTCAGATGAGAAGACCATAAGAGCATCACTAGATGCAGCGAGCTGTCACAATTCACCCTTGCTGGCACTGCTCCTCGTAGTGCTTCCTCATGGGAAATGGTTGAACTGCACTTCATTATTTTGAAGCTGTTATGACAGTTAACAATGCAGCAGCACTGCATGCTTGCTTTCCAGGACGACCAAGGAGCAACAGTCATAGCACAAAAAATATGAGAGAAAAGCCCCGCGAAGTGAGACTGGGGCCGCAGACAGCACTGCGCAAACTTGGAAGGCCTCGGCTACTCGAAATAGCAGCGGTAACAAACGTGGATCACTAGCAGTTGTTTATTTTTCTTCCTAAAGACTGCGACACCAGAGCCTTGACGCAGGTTCGGCACAAGTTACTGAGATTTTTACCCAATTGTAGCAGCTTTGGCCTCTTGGCGCAGCTCATGCTGCTCACCAGAGCTCACATTGAAAAGTCATCTTGTGAGGAATGCAGTGTGCTGCTCATAGTGCTAATACCACTGTAATAAATAAAGACCAGAAAGTAGAGACAGTGGTAAGTATACTGGTTTGTCAAGCTATCAAACCAACGGCCAGGAGTAGGTCAGCTTGTGATGAATCCACAGTAGAGACAAGTAAGAGAAGGCTGGGTGAATAGCGGCGTAGAATCACAGGGGAAAAAAAAGGTGATAATTCAAAACTAGTTAGTAGTATAAGCAGCAGAGGCTAATAGATGGCACTTGATGCACAACCCCTATTCACTGGCGATGCTTCTTACAGTCACCCCTAGCAAAAATTCTGATAGAAAAACTTATAGTCTATTAGCTAGGTTATGAAACTAATGTTAGACTACACTTTAGTTTTTCTATTGGAAGTTTTGCAAGTCCAACCTCTACCGCTGGTTCCTCACGGCGAGGATAAAAAATCAAGGCCAAGGTTTCTTCCAAACATGCTCGCTCGTCCGACTAATGAGACACATGGCTGTCTGCCCATCTGCTGCAATGCCTTCCTAGCTAGCAAGACAAATCACCTTGTATGAAATGAAAAGTGAAAGCACTATACGTTGTAGTCGCACGTTCAGATAACTTTCTCCAGCGTGCGATCGGTACTCATGCACGTGTTGTTCGACGCCGACGACTGAAAGGTCGTCCTATCTTCACCTGCAGAGATTACGATGAGACCACAGTGCACTTGAAAAGGGACCGCCCTAATTACGTAAAAGGCGAAGTGAAAACAGTACTCACTACGCGACTCGACCCCTCTTACAGGATCGACGCGCCAGCCCTCGACACATTTCCGTGCACTTGCTGGCGAACAAAATAATTACTATTTAAAACTCACCAGTTTTTTCCAAGTCCCTGTGACTGCGAGTGTGGGGAACTTGCTCGACAGCGCCAGTCAGGCACGTTGGGCGACACAGGCTGCAAACGAATGATGGTGTACCACGGAGGAAGGAGTGTGGTGTACTGAAAAACTGATTCCTCGCGCCATTCGGCACTTCCTGTTCCGCTGCGTGTGCGCCGAAGCGATTTCGACCAGCGGCGGCGTAGGTAGAGTATCCTACTAGTACACTCTAGCGTAGGGGCAAGGAAGTTCTATACTATGCCCTCTGCAGACTGCACGGTGGTCCTTTGAACTCTACCGATGGATGGATGGATATGGCTGTACCCTTTAGATTGGGCGGTGGCTAGCGCCACCAAGCCGTAACACCTAATGAACCAAAAACTATATTTATTTTTTTTCCTTAAAAAGTGAGTTTTAGGATTCGTACTTTGCAGTGAAGAGTTTAATTTTCACTCGTGTCTTGACTGTAGCCACCAATCAGATAACCTCCTTCTGGTTAAGTCTACCCGCTTAAAGTTTATTTTGCCCTCCCGGTCCCTAAACCCCAGTGCTTTGAAAAACTCTGCGCCATCATCCTGAACTATAGGGTGAAGCCCTTTACAGAACATTATCAAGTGTTCGGCAGTTTCTTCTTCCTCTCCACACGCACTGCATACTGTGTCTACCCCTTCGTATTTGGCCCGATATGTCTTGGTTCGCAGTACTCCCGTCCTGGCCTCAAACAGTAGAAAACTACCCCGAGTATTATCATAGATCCTTTCCTTGGCAATTTCCTGCTTAAAAGTTTGATAGATCTCTAGTGCGGACTTCTTAATCATGCCCATTCTCCACATGTCAGTCTCCGTTTCCTTCACTTTCTTCTTAACCGATAGTTATTTTTGGTTTGGCCACCTGCTGTTTTCTAAGTATTTACCAGTCAACTTCCTGGCTCGCTTCCTCCATTTTGTATCGACATTCTTCATGTACAAGTAGCTGAAAACCTTCCTAGCCCAACGCTCTTCCCCCATTTCTCTCAATCATTTCTCAAATTTTATCTTGCTGCTAGCTTCCCTGCCCTCAAATGATGTCCATCCCATATCACCTTGTACTCCCTGATTTGGTGTATTCCCGTGAGCTCCTAAAGCAAGCCTACCTATTCCACGTTGCTTAATTTCTAATCTTGCTTGAACTTCTGATCTCATGCACAAGACCGCATTGCCGAACGTCCGCCCAGGAACCATGACCCCTTTCCATATTCCTCTCACAACATCATACCTATTGTAATTCCACAGTGCCCTATTTTTCATGACTGCTGCATTCCTGTTACCTTTAGTCGTCACGTATATTTCGTGTTCCCTCAGATACTCGGTCCCATTGCTTATCCATACGCCCAGATATTTGTATTTATCTGTTGTCTCTAGCGTGACCTCCTGTATTCTAAGCTCAGCTACCTTCGTTGTCATTGAAAATCATGACTGCTGATTTTTCCTTACTGAATCTAAAATCTAACCTATCTCCCTAATTACCGCAGATGTCCATCAATCTCTGCAAATCTTCCTTGTTGTTGGCCATTAGCACTATATCATCTGCGTACATTAATGCTGGTAGTGCCTGATCAATAAGTTTTCCTTGTTTGACTAAAGAGAGGTTGAAGCCCAGTTCACTTCCCTCTAATTTTGCCTCTAATCCTTGTAGGTACATCATGAATAATAAGGGTGACAGGGGGCACCCCTGCCTAAGCCCCCGTTTTACCTCTGCAGGCTTGGATACCTGTTTTTCCCACTTTATAACTACAGTGTTACCTTTATAGATACCCTCTAAAAGATTAGTGACTACATGTTCCACGCCTAGTGTGTCCAGTATTCCCCACAATTCCTCTTGAACCACGCTATCGTACGCTCCCTTGATATCCAAAAATGCTAGCCACAGGGGCCTGTGTTCCTTTTCTGCTATTTCGATGCACTGCGTCAGTGAGAACAGATTGTCTTCCAACCTCCTGTGTTTCCGAAACCCATTCTGCAGTTCCCCCAGCACCCCCTCATCCTCTATCCACGCCTGCAGTCTTTCCTTTATAATTTGCATCGCCAGCCTGTAGACCACTGATGTCACTGTTATAGGACGGTAGTTGTTTATGTCAGCTTTTTCCCCCTTTCCTTTATAGATCATGCTCATCCTGCTAAGTTTCCATCCATTGGGAACTTCACCATCGATTATTATTTTGCTCACTGCCTCTCTCAAAGCCTGCTTAGACTTCGGACCTAATGTCTTTATCAGCCTAATTGGAATGCCATCTGGGCCTGTTGATGTACTACCAGGAACCCTTTTCTCAGCCCTTTCCCACTCTTGTTTTGAAAATGGAGCCATTGCACCACTTTATTCGTCCTTGTCTATTGTGGTGCATAAAGTACTTCTTTGTTGAAATTTTTCTGTCACCCTTGTTCTTATATATTCAATAGCTTCGTCCCCTTCTAGCCTAGCACCTTGGGCTGTAGTTATAAAACTCTGCTCTAGGCTCGTCTCATTTCTTAGGGAGTTTAGATGGTTCCAAAATTTTACGTGTACCTCTGGAGTGGAGGAGCGCCCCGATAAGTGACGCCGGTCACCGCCATATTGGAAAATGAAAGACTCAGAAGCAGACGACAAAGTGCGCTTCGTAGCTGCGCCATCGCTGTGGTGTTTGGAGACTGTGACTTGCTTTTGTAAAGCAGTTAAATATTTTACAAGGCCATGGTGACTTCGTGCGTCGCTTATGGCTGCACAAGTTGCATGAGGTATATGCCTGGGATCTCTTTTCACGTGTAAGTATTCTCGCTTCGTTCGCTGACGATCGCCTGTTTTTTTTTTGCGTATTTTATTAAATTGGAAACAATATCAAATGCGCGCATGCGTGTAATACATGCGTATAGCTGTATGGAAGGTAACTTGAAGTTCCAAATGCTCGCCGACATGACGTTGTCCCTGAGTTTTAAGTTTATGGACGAGGGACTTGCGGTCTGTGGCGGCACTTATCAAACTTGGAACGAGTAGGACGTTTGAATGCCCTTTTAATTCCAAGTTTTCTGGTGGTGTTTTACAAGGCAAGACTGACGGCGGGCATGCATATTTTTTTGGCGAGTGAATATCCAACTTGGTGTATGTTTAGCGAGGAATTCGCAAACATAGAGAACAATTTCATGCCGTGATTATTCGTGTTACAGGTTTCCAAAAGACAGTGCGCTGCGTTAATTCTGCCTGGTAACGTGCTGTTCGAAGAAACAGTTGGATGGCTACGGACAGTGACCACCTCTGTTCTATTCACTTCGAAGAATGCTGCTTCGACAGAACGGGGCAAACAACCAGACTGCAGCCTGGCAGTGCACCTTCGACTTTTCCTGCTTTCCAAGCGCATCTGCAAAAACCTGTTAGTTTCTACCTCCTTGATGTTGCTTCAATATAATGTAGTCACGAAAATAAGCAATTGCGTCTAAAACAAGATGAGACATGTACTTTTTAAAATCCATTCTATCTTGCCGACGAAACCAAAACGCCGATAGACGAAGTTGCCAAAATGAGTGAGTGGCATTATATCAAACATCAAGCTACCTCGTTTCTAGGCTCTGAAGGCTGCGCTTGCCATGGCAACACACGTCGTCAACAGAAGTCGATAAATAGTACGCATAACTATAGTTAAGCATACTATTTATCAACTTCCGATTGCAGTGGCGTTATAACGCCCCTGCAATAGTTCTTATAGAGGGTTCATTAGGGGTACGTCTCCTGGAGTTTGTCGGTTGCACGCGACATGGGTGCTTCGGTTTTGGTTCCGCCTGTGAATCGGTTAGAATTCTATAATTCTAGAAAAATTACTGACGACTCCCAGCTTACTTAATTACCTCTCTTTTCTAACTTTAGCTTTAATTATTTCAACTTCCTTATATATATTGTCTGGTAATCTGCCGACACACACACAAGCACATATGCAAAAGAGGCGAGCAAATGTCACGTTCCCCTTGATCTTGAGTGTCTGCAGGCACATTTCTTAAAATCCCAATGTATAATACAACCATTTTGTACCCCAATAGTGTGCCAGCAAGCTCGATATGCGAAGCAAGCTCGATATGCGCCCAGCAAGCTCGATAAACTCCCAGGTGGCACAAAACATTAAAGTAACGTTGTATTTTTGTTGCGAATGTTGAAGAAACGTTTTATGTTTTCCAACAACGTTGTCTAAACGTTTTACATGAAACATATACCGTTCTTTGTTGTATGTAAAACGTTATATATATATTAGAAATACACTGTTAAAATAACGTTGAATGTGGAACATTAGTGCAACATTCAAACAAAACATTGAACGTTGAATGTTATATTTCAAACATTAAAAAATGTTAAAATTGCACAAATAATTAACAGGTAAACATTCCAGTAATGTTCATGTAATATTTTACCATCATTATTTGCCGAAAATGCCCATTAACCAAGAAATTTAATAACTTATAGCTGCAGGGGAATACTTCATGATGTACAGAGAAAATATTAAATTTCATTTCAGAAATGAAATTGTTTTTTGCTAAGTGACACCAGATAATGATAGTTACAATAACATGTAGTGCAGTCAATCTGTGGCTATTCTCCAATTGATATTGCAACTATTCTATGCACGCTTATGAGCTGGTTTTACTGCTTGAAATGTCATGCACAGCTGTCATTTGGTCATGTATTTGTAGTAGCTTTCAAGTTTCTCACACATCACTGTGGTATATATTACAGTGATGTGTGAGAAATATATATACATATGTACTTTAAAGTACATATGTACCAAACTACCATGGACGTCGGCATGAATGAGTTAAGTCTTGGCGGGGGGGGGGGAGGGGGGGATTGCATTGCGGTGGGGGAGTGCTGGTGTGACTTGGGCAAATGAAGCTTTAATTGTGCATGCCCCTGCTGATTCCCAAGAACACTGGTGACTCACAAAAGGTTGGCAAAACAGTAATGCAATTTTTTTATTGAGGTCCCAATGCTTTACATGCAGGAGTGAGCCAAACAATTATTGTAAATAAAACAAAGATTCTAAGGCTTCGCTAAAGCTATCCAAGTTTGAATAATGGTGATGCTCTTAGAAAGACCGTTCCAGTCCTGGGTGGTCTAGCAAAGGAATGACAGTGGGTCACGGTGCAAACAAGAGGTAGGTCGACAGCCTTGTGGTAATGTGTGTGGGCTGATGTATGATGAGCAGTTTTGAAGTTATATTGAAATGTGTGCA